CAGACCAGGTGGTCAAAGCCTCCAGAGTCCTGCCCAGCATCACCCAGCCAAGCAGAGGTGAGTCTGGAGTTGGGCATCTGAGCATCTAACTCAAGCGCAGACAGACTTCAGTCCAGTTGGGGTCCCTCCCACCCCCTCATCCACGGCTGCTCAATTACCCACCCCTTCAATCCTTATCCTAGTGAAGACTGCGAATTGCCCTTTGGTCCCAATTCTCCTCTCCCTGAGCTTCAGTTGGGTGAGGAGGCTACAGACTGGGCTACAGACTACATTTCCCATACTCCTTTACAGCTAGGTGAGCCATGTGATTAAGTCTTGGCCTGTGGGCTGTGAGTGGATGCAAAGTGTGCACATCCAGGTGATGCCCTTAAACAGGAAACTTCTTGCCCTCTATTTACTCCTTCCCCCACTGCAGCCTTGGTTATTATGGACCAATTTAGACCTTGTGGATGAAGACGGTATTTTCAGGGATGGTGGAACAATAGGATAGAAGGAACCTGGGTCCCTGTAAAACCCAGTGGAACAAAGCTGCCTACCTTCTCAGAACTTGTGCTGTAGTTTGGGGTCTTTTCATTACAGTGACTTAATCTGTATGCGTACACATTTGTTCTGTAAGCCAAAGACTTCTTGCCATCCCTCAATATTCATTTATTCTTCTTTCCCTGTAGGAGAACCTCTGGTTTTTACTGGGCATATGGCTGCCTGTTATAAAGACTACATTTCCCAGCCTCCCTTGCAGCTAGCTATGGCATGTGACTAAGTTCTGACGATTGGGCTATGAGCAGTTATACTGTGTATTAATTATAGGGAGTGTCCTTAAAGAGAAGAAATGTGCCTTTCTTCATCCTTTCCTCCTTCCTGCTGCCTGGAATGAGGATATAATGGCTGGCCTCCCAGCATCCATCCAAGACTATGAGGTGACCATGGGAATGGGAATTCATTCACAGCTGAGCAACCAAAAGCAAAGGAGTTTGGGTCTTTTATACCAATGAGACACTACACCAGCCCTAGGCTACCTAACTGCAGGCTTTTAAGTGAAAGAGAAATAAACGTCTATTTTGGTTAAGCCACTTATTTTGTCTTTTCTGAATTACAAAGCTGAACCTAATCCTGATATACTCACGTGCATTCATTCATTCTGAAACAAACCAGCAACACAAAATAATGTAACTGGGTGTGCAGGTCTGGGATGGATCCTTCGTTACCCCTCTGCATGGGACCCTGAGAGGCCAGTCTGCCCCAGCAACTCTGGAGGGGCTGGACATAGAGATTAGGAATAAGTGGGCTCTACACCCTCATGAGAACAAAAAGCCCTACCAGGCCACCATGAAGAGTCTTGGGCCCTCACTCCAGGTGTCCTAGAGTGAGGAGCTGCCCCTCTCTAAGCCTCATCCACTTCCTCCCCGTCAACTCACAGTCCTGCCAGGCCTCCCAGGAAAGATGGGCATGAGGCTCTGAGTCAGAGTGATGCTGGCCCCAGGCCCCAAGGGTGCATGGAAAAATTAGGCAACTGTTCTTCTTAGGGCTGATGGCGTCTCTGGCTTCCACCAACCCGAACCACCACTCACACCAGCTACTTCCAAAAGAGGCTCCTACCCACTGATTTAAAACACCCTCCCAGCTTCATAAAACATTGCCTCCCCACCCACCAACGTCATTACTATTACACTGGGTTCTGCTTTGCTCTCTCTCCCTGTAAAGGCAAGCAGCATGAATCTTTGGCCTGTGACCAAGAATGAAAAGTGCACCCCAAGACAGGCAGAGAATGAAAAACCAACCGCCCAGATTGACCTCATTTTTGCCGAGGGCCAACCCCAGATTGGGCTCAAACTTAGGCAGCTCAAAGCAAGTGAGTACAATTCAGGAGACCTGTATGAACTGTGTGGCCCATCGGTCAGAGTTCTTCCTGTCCCAAGAGACAGAAATCATGGGCTGAAGCATAAAGGAGAAGGCACTGGCCTGCATAAATAAACAGTCCGTGGGTACCTCCCAATTCCCTCTGGAGTCCGGACAGACAGTCTAACTGGACAGCTTGGGTCCTGGCTCCGCCCTTGAACCAATCACTGTGGCCAGGGGAGATACAAGCCTCGCACTGGGTCAGGCTGTGGTCACGTGCTCCTCCTCCCGATTCAGAGCAGTCACTTTCTTGCAGGACTTGTCAGAGGCTTTATATGAATATGTGGGCAAAGAGAGCATATGGTGTTTCCTAAATTGCTTTGAATCTGAGCTCAACAATCGGGAGATCCGTTATACTGGCCTCGAGCAGTGGCTGCCTCCTTTCGACAGAACAGAAGCTCTCAGTTTGCTCCAATCCCCACCATTCCCAAGCATCTAGCTCCTTGCCTACCTCACTGCAGACACTGAAGCTTGGTATGTGGCTAGTGATGAGGTGGTAAGTCCCAAATGCAAAAATGTGAAGCATTACACACTTGGAGGGAACTCAAGTAGCCCTCACTTAATGGCAATATTCCGTCATAAATACATGAAGGTGTGCACTCTCCCACAGGTAGACGCCTGCATGCAAGGTCACAGGCACCCACGTGCACACACAACCACACACAGACCACTTGGGACACAAAGCCTCAGCCTCAGCCCGCACGTCCCCCCACAAGAGGGTCAGACCCTGCTCTGCAGGAACTGGGCCTCGTGTCCTGCCCTGTGCGGGCTCTTGCCGAGGCTGGGGAAGGGGAACAGCAGTGGTATAACGCTGGGCCCCCTCCCCACACCCCTCCTTGTCTGGATTCCCAGGCTTGAGGCTGGAATAAAGGACTAGATGGAGGAGAGACCTCCAGAGGCAGGGTGCTGGAGTCAGCCCAGCAAGGGGACAGAGGAAACCCACTGGGAGCCCAAGGGGTCCTCCGGCCCAGGGCAGGGGACCCAGCAGGGGGAGGGGGAGCTGGGCGTGTCCAGGGCAGGTACACGCACCTGGAGGCCCAGGCTGCCTAGCTCTCCACACAGCTATGGACAAACACAGAGAAGCTCCTGCTCCCGGGACCGTCCTCCAGGCTCCCCGTTCCCCCCATGGAGTGGTGTGAGAGGGCAGAGGTGGAAGGTGAGGGCCCCTGTGCCCGATGCCCAGCCTGCGACACCAGGCCACGGCATCCGTGCGTGGCATCCACGGCCTCAGCTTCGACCACCCGTGTCCTCGCCCTCTCCCTGTGCCTCAGCCCTGCCCTTGGCATTCCTGGGGTGTCAACGAGGAAGGGCTACAGTAAGGTCATTGGCGGGTGTTATCTGAATGGGGTCAACAGGCCCCTCGGCTTCTTATCTCTGGTTCGCTGCGACCAGAAGGGGAGCAAACAGCAGCTGACAAGTCTCCCAGGAGTGCGGCCAAGGGCAGCGGCCTGACTGGGAGACAGAGCACCTGGGACTGAGGTGAGCTCTGCCGCTCAACTTCTCTGTGCCTCAGTTTCCTCATTTGCAAAAATGAACGTAATAGTATCGACCACGTGGGTAATTGCAGGGGGTTAAATGAAATGACTGCTAAGGCCCATCTGCACACAGTAGGTTACTCAAGACATGAGTACATTCTGGCTCCTCCCCACCCCTCGTTGCTGGGGAGGAGTGCTCAGGAGATAGTAGACTAACATTGATTGAAATACGCCAGGTCCATAGCAAGAATCCACAAACCACCCATCTTACAGATCAGAACACTGAGGCTCTGAAGCAGAGCATCGTTTGCCCAAGGCTAGTGAGGAAGAACAGCGTCAGTCTCGGTTCTGGCTGAGTCCACTGCTGGGGCTCTCTGCACCCCCTCTATTCTGGGGAGCTCACACTGTAGGATTCCAAGGTAAGGCTGGGCCCGGTGGCTTCGGGAGGCGCAATGCTGGCAATCAAGGGCAGTGTCCAGGGTCCAAGAGAGAATGGGACAGAGGCAGAGGGAGGTCACTGCGGCTCTCAACTTCTCCTCTTGAGAGAGGGAGGAGGCGCCTGGCAGGGGGATCAGCCTGGGGAGAGGAAAGGAGGTGGGAAGCCACAGGTGGGCCTCTTCCAGCACAGAGGTGCAGCCTGAGGCCCCGAGAAGGGAGGGCACTTGGCCACGCACACACAGCCTGCAGGAGGCAGGAAAGGGGGCCCCAGTGGGAGCCTGCCAGGTGGACCCCACACTCTCTGAGCCTTGCTTCCAGCAGGGCAGTGAGGATTGGCTAGGGCTCCCCAGGGCCAAGATCTTGTGGGCCAGCCATCTCTGGGACCTCAGCACCCCCCCGCTGGGGTGAGGGCCCCCAAGGGGCAGAGCCAAGGGAGGCTGGAGGGGTGGGGCGGGGCCTCCCCTGCCCAGGGCCCAGCTTCCCCATCAGAGGCACTTTGCTGCCCCCTGGTGGCTCCAGAAGACTCTAATTTCTCCTCCGCTTCCTAAGAGATGCTTCCCCCAGGGGAGAGGTGCCCAATTCCAGGACCAGCACCCACCCTCCTTGTGACCCACAGGTGTGTCCAGACCGACCTGGAGGTCCTGCTTCCATCCCCAGGGTCCCATCACCACCAACTGGCACACGAAGAAGGCTGAGAGCCAAGAAATACAGAGTCATATTGAAAATCACAGGGTTTGAGCCTGGCTGGGCCACGCGCCCACTAGGACCTTGAGTGGGTCCGGTCACCGCCCCGTGCCTCAGTTTCCCCATCTTTAGAACAGGGATGATATAATGGTTTCTGCTTCATAGTGCCTTTCTGAACATTAAAGAAGGCAATGAGTAGAAAGGTCTTAGGAGAGTTTCTGGCACATACAAAGCACTTGATAAAGCCAGGCGATATTGTCCTTGCCCACGTGGGCCTGAGCATAGCTGCACAGAATGCCCCCCTCTCCTCCTGGGCAGGTCCTCCAGGTGAGGGAAGCCCTGTCAGGACTTCAGCATGACTGGACTGTCTTAGAGACCCAAGGATTGAATCGTTGGCTTTATTGCCCAAGCTATGTGATGTAGAGTCTCTTGATGGCAGAGCCAGCCTCGAGGTTACTATGTGCCTTCTATGAGCTCACAGAGCCAGAAAGACGGGACCGGCTGGACTTACAAATTCAACTCAGAGTGTTTATTGGCCAGGGCTGCAGGGGAGCCAAGGGAAGCATTTCAGGAGGGCTTCCTGCAGGAGGCAGCTGGTACAGAAGCAGGGGGCAGCTTCCACCGCCAGCCATGAGCACAGGGAGCAAGCCTCAGCCAGCTACAGGGGTGTCCATCCCCGACGAGGAGCCCTCAGCTCTGACCCAACTGGGCTTTCAGAGCCTGCAGCCCTCCCCCATCGATGTTGTTGCCTCCACACACAATGACCACGACCGAGGCCAGGGAGGGGCACAGGCGGCCCTCAGCCTGGAGGCTCCCTAGGAGGCCTGAGTAGATGACAGCCAGAGCTGCCCCGCAGGCAGGCTCCACCAACATGCGCTCATCATCTGCCCGGAGCAGGGGAACGGGATGGATGAGAAGAGAGAAAGGGAGGAAGAAGCAGTTAGTGCTCAGTAGGCTCTGGGCACTGCAAATCCACAAAGCCAGCCAGCTAGCCAGCCAGCTCACAATCCATCATTCATCTGACCCTCTCTCCATCCATCAATCTGACCATCCATCTCTCCATCCATCCACCTTTCATCCATCTATCCATCCATCCATTCCTCTATCCATCATTTGACTGTCTGTCTGTCCATCCATCAGTGTATCCATCAATCAACGTATCCATCTATCTATCCATGCATTCATCTATCCATCCCCTATCCATCATTTGACTGTCTGTCTGTCCATCCATTAGTGTATCCATCAATCAATGTAACCATCCATCCATCCAGGCGTCCATCCATCCATCCATGCATTCATCTATCCATCCCCTATCCATCATTTCACTGTCTGTCCATCCATCAATGTGTCCATTAATCAATGTGTCCGTCCATCCATCCATCCATCCATCCATTATCTACCTTTCCACTCACTCATACATTCACCCATTCATTTAACAAATATTTATTGAGTACCCACTCCCTGCCAGGCCCTATGCTAGGAAGGTCCTGGGGGCACAGCAGTAAAGAGGACACATCAGGCCTCACCCTCACGGGGTTTACATCTAGTGCTGTAGATGAATAAGAACCAGGCAGCTATGAACAGAGGGCCTGGTGCATGGGAAGACTCCAGCCCAGGGGGGTTGAGGGTGGAAGACTGGAGGAGGCTACCCGAGGAGGCACCCTATGATGACGGAGTAGCCCCAAGTCACATGAAATTGACAGGGAGTGAACACCCAGAGACCCAGGGCCTTCATAGGTCCCCGAGCCTGGGGAGGGAGGGCAAGGCTCACTCACCCAGGAACTGCTGCACAGCGCTCACAGCCTGGACATCCTCCACCACCTCAGAGATGATCTCCAGTTCCTGCATGCATGCCAGGGCCCTCGCGGCCACGGTCTTGGCACCCAGGCTCTTGGCCACGCTGCAGGAGAGGGCAGGCCGGGCAGGGAATGCCAGGGTGTGGGGCAGAGCCGGTGAATCCTCGGGCCTCCGCCCCTTACCGATCCAGCCCTCCAAGCCCCAGGCCCCCTCCCGTCCTGCAATGGGCCGGGGCTCAGCATCGCAAGAGCCTAGCACAGCATGGGCACAGAGGAGTTGCCCCCAGATCGGGTGCCCCTCGAATGACCGACAAATGCGCCCCATGCCCTCCAACTCCATAACCATGATTGTGGTCTTCCGTGCACATACCCCAGAAAGCCAAGCACGGAAATGGATTTGTTTGCATCTTATTCAGTAATAACCACTTATGTCTATATGATAACTAATATTTATTGACTATCTACCAGGTGATAGATACATGTGTTTTCTGTCATAAGCCTCATAATCTCCCCTTGAGTCAGAAATGTATGAGCTCCATTTTACAAGGGAGGAACCTGAGAGGCTCAGGGAGGTTAAGGAACTAGCTCAAGGACGGACACACAGCTAGTCAGTACGTAGCAGAATGTGGATTCAAATCCAGGCAGTCTGGCTCCAGGATCCATGCTGTTTATCTCTGTGCTTGGGATCGCCCACCTGCCAGTACCTTCCTGAGCTGGGCAGCGTTTCAGCCCCGGGAGAGCCTTTGGAGAGCCCATGAGAATTGGCCCAAGTAGCCCAGAGCAAAGACTCGGGAGCCAGGCTGCCTGGTTTCAAACCTGGGCCCCACACTAGCAGTGGGACCTCGTGAAGGTCACTGCACCCCCCCCCGAGCCTCAGCTTCCTCAGTCTGAAAAATGGAGGTAGCGACAGTCCTGGGTTCATGAGAGTGTCATGGGGGTGGAGTGCCTAGAAGAGGGCCTGGCACGTAGTAAGTTCTACTGAAGGGTTGGCAGTGGCTGTTAGCATCGCTATTACTAAGAACAAAGTCAAGAACAACAGCAAGAGAGACTCAGACTCAGAACTACAGATAAGCCAGGAGTGGTTGCCAGTCAGCGGGGGGTGGCGGCGGGGGGGGGCGCTGGGCGAAACAGGTACAGAGGATAAAGACGTACAAACTTCCAGTTATAGAATTAATAAGCCACGGGGATGAAAAGTCCAGCACAGGGAATAGTCAATAATATGGCCATCGCTTTGTGTAGTGACAGGTGGTGAGTCCACTCGTGGTGGTGAGCACAGAGGAATATATAGGAGTCCTGGATCACTACATGGCACGCCTGAAATGAATATGATATTGTAGGTCGACCATAAGCATCAATTATAAATAAATAAGTAAATAAATAAGAACAAAGTCTGGGAGGGGAAACACAGAATTAAGTTGTAAGTAGAGGGAGACCATTGGGAGGGCACCCTCCCTGAGGCAGGGTTGTGGGGCCAATCTCTCTGGGGTGAGAGACCCCAGCCGAAAGGAGGGAAGGGGAGGGGGTAGAATGTTCCAGGCAGAGGGAACAGCATGCGCAGAGGTTGGTGATAGGAAACAGTGTGACCTATCCAAGGGGCTGGAAGACAGGGCAGTGGCTGGAGTGGGGCTGAGAAGAGTGTGGATCTGGGCCTGAGAACCTGGGGAAGGCATTGAGGGGTGGAAGCGGGGGATGAAGAGTCCCATAGGTCAGCAGCGGAGGAAGGACAGACACCCTGCCCAAAGGTAGACAAAGGACTCAACGCAAAGAGGAAACTCAGCAATACCACTTGCAGGGATGCAGCCCAGAGCAATGGACACATTCGTCCACATGAAATGCCACACAAGTGTTTGTAGCAGCACGACTCATCATAGCCCAAAACACAAACAGCCCAAACGTCCAGCAACCGAGGGTTGGATAAACAAGATGGGGTCCAGCCACACGATGGAATAGTTTTTGGCCACAAAAAGGAATGGAGTGCGGATGACAACATGGATGAACCCGGAAGACATGAGGCTGAGTGAGAGAAGCCAGACACAAAAGGCCACATATTGTATGACTTCATCCAAATGAAATGTCCCCAGCAGGTGAGTCCATAGAGACAGGCAGTAGATCAGTAATTGGCAGGGGCTGGAGGGGAGGGGCGGTTTGGGGAGAGGTGATGAAAATGTTCTAAAAGTGATTTTGGTGATGGAGGCACAACTCTGAATATACTTAAAATCATTGAACTATACACTCTAAGTGGATGAATTGCGTGACACATGAAGTATATCTCAATAGAGCTGTTATCAAAAAGAGCACCAAGCATAGCCAGGGGGTGGAGGAGGGCTGTGACAGCCATCCAGGGGAGCGCTGATGCCCTGGGGTGGGGACAAGGGCTGGAGAGGAGCTGGAGTCCAGTGGGAGAGTGGACAGAACTCAGCAAGGTGACTGCCAGGTGGGTCCAGTCAGAGCACCGGGATGGACAGTGGTGTCATTTACAAAAATGGCAAGTCTGTGAACTTCACTTAGTGCTGCACTGTGCCAGGCTCTGAGAGAGGTACTAGGGACTCAGAGCTCAATAGCCAGTCCCCATCCTCAAGCCCCTCCTTCCCAATTAGGGGCCCAAGTCAGCCCATCCATAAGCTCTTTCGTGGCTGAAGAGTGACACAGAGTGTCTTTGGGGTCTTTACATATGGGAGGCAACTGCCCAGCTGAGCCTTGGGGGATTTCATCAATGTAAGAGGGACTGGTATTTCAAGTGAAAGGGAAAGGAAAGGCTCAGAAGTTAGAGGCACAAATAATTTTCAGGGAAAGGCAGCACAGAGATGCCGGAGTGTGGGTGGCATCAGAAAGGAATGGAGATGGTACCAGAAAGACATTAAGGAGACCCGTATGTCCAGATAGAATCCTCCTTGAAGCAAGGACCTGTTTCTCTAACTGGCCAGCCAGAACCTTGTACACAATAGGTGCTTAATAGAGATGACTTAATAGGCTGTCCTGATTTCAGCCACCTTGCTGTCATACACCATGATATCCTAAGTTCCAGCACCTAATGGGTGCTTAATAAAATATGGGCAGTGCTGGCATCTGTAGAGGGTTGAACAGTGTCTCCCCCCAAAATTCACATCCATACAGAACCTCAGAATGTGACCTAATTTGGAAATAGGGTCTTTGCAGATGGAATTAGAAGATAAGGTCATACTGGATTAAGCTGAACCCTAAATTCAGTGACTGGTTCCCTTACAAGAAGAGAACAGACACACAGAGAAGAAGGTCATATGAAGAAAGAGGCAGAATGAGGTGGCTACAAGCCAAGGAACACCAAGGATTGCCAACAACCACCAGAAGCTGAAGGAGGCAAGGAAGGATGCTTCTCCCCTAGGGCCTTCAGAGGGAGTATGGCCCTGCTAGTACCTTGATGTCACACTTTTAGCTTTCAGGGCTATGAAACAATGCATTTCTGTTCTTTTAAGCCACCTAGTTTGGGTCATCTTTATGGCAGCCTTAGGAAACTAACAGCATCTGTGAAGATGATAGTGGTGATGATGATAAAGGATATAAGATGAGGCAGGGTCTGGAGGCTGGCCACTCTCTATTAGTTAGTTAGTTGGTTCATAAGAACTTTTCCTCAGTTGAATTAAAATCAGTTACATAAAGTAATAAGGAAAAAGTTCTCTAATGATATTGCAGAAAAAATGAAACTATGTTCGTGATATATAATATGAACTAGAAAAATAGAGTTTAGGAAGGATATGATCCTAACTTAAAAATATGTATCAATCCATTCATTCATTTCACAAACATTTGTTGAGCACCTACTATGTGCCAGGCACATTTCACTTGTATGTAACTATGCATGCATGGGGGAAAAGCAAAGACCGGGAAAATGTAACCCATTGTTCATCTTTGGATGGTGGAATTGAAGGTGCCGTTTTGTTTTCTGTTGCTTATTGCTTGCCTACATATTCTAACGTACCTGCAACACACTTAAATTCCTTTTATAATGGATACAGAACAATGAAATTTGTTTTACTAATTAATGAAACTTAAATGAATCATATCCTTCATCCACTTTTTTGGCATTGCCTTCTAACATTATTGTGGTTGGAGTCCTAGGGTGAAGTTGAGTCTCTTGGGTATGCCCTACCTCCACTGGTTGGGACTGAGAGGCCCTAGGACAGCAACACCACCACCCTCCAGCCTACCACAAATGCCCCCAGCCCATGCCTACCTGGTGATGTCTGGCAGCGTGACTAGCCTGCCCGCCTTGATGGCTGCATTGAAACAGTGTGCCCCTTGGGTCTCCACAGCTATGATGGGCACATGCTGCCAGCCCACCTCTGCCAGGCCAGCTGACACCCCAGCCAGGAGCCCCCCACCCCCTACTGCCAGCACCAGGGCCCCCGGTGGGGTCCCCAGTGCTGCCTTCAGCTCTCGCACCAGGCTGGCGTGGCCTTCCCTGGGGGGCAGGAGAAAGCAGGGTGAGAAAGGCCCCCATTCCCAAAGGCTGACATATGCACAAACTCTCCTCATCGCCACCCCAATCCCCATCCACAGCAAGGGGAGCAGAGACCCTGCAACACTTAGCTCACCCAGCTTTCATCCATTCAAATTATTCATTCACTCATTCTTTCCCTTCCATCAACCTCCCAGCTATGTTCTCAGACATTTCCCATTTAATCCCCTCCACAACCTTGGAAAGAGGTAGTGTTAGCGTGTGCGCTTAAGAGGGGACCAGCATATCAATTGGCATCCGTCAAGTTCTGGGCCTGGGACCCAATGTCTTGGCCACTTACTAGCTGTGTGATCTTGGGCAAGTTCCTTGACCCTCTGTGCCTGTGGAATGGACATAAAACACCCACCTCTAGGGCTCTGGGGAGGATCAAATGGATTAAATGCATCCTGAAGTACACTCGATAAGCAGGATTGATTATTGCCATTTCCATTGTACACATGTGGAAACTGAGGCATGGGGAGGAGAGATACTTTGTAGAGTCACACAACTTGCAAGTGACAGAAGCAGGGCCTGAACTGTAATGTGCCTGGCTTCCAAGCCTCTTCTCCTCTCTAGGCCTCAGTTTCCCCTTCTGTCCAATAGAAGGACCCTAACTCAATAAAGGTCTGGGCTCTGAGCTCCATGGGGGAGGGGTAACAACCTTACCAGATCAGGGGGTGGTCAAATGGAGGGACGTTCACCCAACCATCCCTCGTGGCCAACTCTTGCGCCTTCAGACTGGCCTCGTCCCAGACCTAAAGAGAAACCAAGGGCCTCAGGAGCCCCAGGAGTCGGACCGCTCTGGAGGCTGGAGCAGAGCTGAGGTCTCCTGCATGGCCCCAGGGTCTGACGGGCTGGGGAGAACCCCAAGGGCGAGGCCAGAGCTGGAGTGTGCCTGCAGCCTCCTGGGACAAAGGCAGAGGCTTCCGCCTGGATAAATGGATGTCATGTGCTTTCCACAATCCCCATGGGCCAGGCTGCAATGCTAGGGGAGGGGGAGTTCCAAGGCCAGCTAAGCGGTTTCCACTTCTAACCAGCCAGTAGGGGAGAAGCCCCCTCAAATCAGAGCCCCAAAGAGCAATTTGGCCACTACAGATGGTGTCCATGAAAATGAGCGATCGCCCAACGGATGACCTGCTGGTTAAGTTCAAGCAACCAGAGGTAGCCTGGGTCTCGACAGACCTGTGTGGACCACATCAGGGCTGAGTGCACTTTTCTCACGGGCTTAGCATCTGTGGCAGAAGTCCGCATCCCTGCAGCCTAGCTCAGAGGTCGCTTGCGGGGTATTTTCTGGCTAGGGGACTTTGCGGGGCAGTGGGCAGGGCAGACTGCAGTGACCCTCTGACCCTTCTCTGTGTGTCTCCTCCACAGGAGCCCCGAGGGTCCCTGTGGGGACTGAACCCCAGTTGCCCACAGAGGTGACTCATTGACACACCACTGTGAGCTTTCTTCTCTTCTCTGTCTCACTTCTATCCCCCATGTTCTCTGCAAGCACATCCCAAATAAGCTACATGCACCCTAATCCTTGTCTGAAGGTCTGCTTCTGGGGAACCCAAACTAAGACAGGATTTCGGAGGGGACCCTCCCTGCACTGGCCAATTTCAGCAGAAGCTAAGTGGCAAATAACAGCCTCCTCTTCCAAGGAGCAGAGGGTGACAAGGGGGCCAGAGGTAGCCTTCGCCCATCCTCTGGCCCCCTGCAGCACCCCCTCTTGCCCATCCCATGCTGGGGGACACAGAGAAGACAAAGAAATAGTCTCTGTCCACAAGGAGTCTCCCATCTAACCAAAGAGACAAGACTCAATCTCTTGAGTTACTGAAACAAACATGAGATTTAAAACCATGCAGCCCTTGAGCCCACTCACCTGGAGCAGCGCCTCCTCACAGGCTTCCTGCCTCCTGTCCATTGCCTGAGAGCAGCCAGAGTGAGGGCCCAGCGTGTCCCTCCCCTGCTCCAAATCCTGCTGTGGCTCCCCATTGCCCTATGCCAGCCTCACCTGTGAGCTGCCCTGCCTGCTGAGGCGGCCGTCCCCCTCTCTGGCCTCACCTGTCACCCCTTCCGCCAGGGGCTGGGCTGCAGGCGAATGCAATGCACCGTGCTCGCTCCCATTCCAGGCCTTTCTAGGCTCTTTCCTCTGCCCACGCCCCTTTTCCCAGTGGGAGGACTTGTATTTCCCTTTCAAGATAACACAGGGGGCCTTCTAGGGGAGCCTTTCCTGGATCGTCTCCCCACGTCTGAGGCACAGCCTGGCAGTAGTCGGGACCACCGCCCAGGTCCCTACCCCCTCCCTCCATCAGAACTCCACGGCCACACCTTGTGTCGAGTGACCGCTGTTCTTCCCCGCCACAGAGGCCAGAGCACATTTCCTCACCTACGCTGATGGGGGCCCCAGCCGTGGGGCTTGCTTTGGCCAATGGCATGTGGCCGAAGTGACAGTGTAACAGTTAAGACCACAGCCCTGAGGGGCCCTTTCCCCCCACTCCTCCTGCCATCCACCTGGAAAGGAACACGTCCCAGGTGGCCACCGGTCCAGAGGGATGTGGGGCACAAGTGCAGACCTTAATCCTGCCTGCAGCCTGACGCAGAGCCACCCTGGCCCTCTCACAAGCCCACGAGCGAGAGAGATCAGGCTTCTCATAAGCCTCTGATATATGGGGGCTGTTTGTTATGCAGCATGATCTAGCAGCAATAGCTGATTAAAATATGCTCTCTCTGTTCCTCTTCAGGGCCCTGTGCTTCCCCATCACACTTACCACGGCCTCTTATCACCATCTGGTTATCTGTGTGTCTCCCCAGCAACACCTGAGCTTTGTGAAAGTAGAGACCATGTCTTACTATCTCTATTTCCCTATCTCTAACATCCTACAGGCACAGGGTATGAGTTCAATGAATATCTGTTGGAAAGAAGGAAGGGAGAAAGAAAGGAAGGGAAGGAGGGAGAAAGGGGATGAGGGGATGGATGGATGGATGGATGGATGGATGAAGGTTGGACGGATGGATGGATGGATGGACGGACAGATGGACTGACAGATGGACGGATGGATGGATGGATAGATGGATAGATGGATGGATGGGTGGATGGATGAGTAGATGGACAGATGAATGGGAGAGAGGGAGAGAGAGAGGGTGATGGATGGGAGGACAGCTGAATAGGTGAATAAAGAGAAGAAAGAAGGGAGAAAGCAAGGAAGGAAACTGGACACTAAGTATTTGGAGACCAGCTTTCAGATACCATGGTTTTAATTTTAATGGTTTAAAAAAAATCTCTTTTCCAGGGAGCTTTTTTTCTTCTTTCCAGGAATGCAGAAGGATTACATGTTTGCATCACCATTTCTTCGGTAACAAGATGATATCCCTGGTGGTGGACACCTTTCATTATTGGGGTGGTCTCAGAATAAGAAATGATGCCACCATCATCTTTCTTTATACTTTTTGTCTCATCAAAGGGCAAACATTTTTAAATAAATAATACCAAGTGTTAGTGAGGATATAAGGAGACGGACACACTCCTGGTCCATAAGCTTCCTGTTTCTCCTGGGTTCACGCAGGGGAAGTTTTCTCAAGGTAGGTAGAGGCAGGAGGTCCCAGGCCTCAATATACATCATGCCTCACTCCCACCCCTCAGCTCAGCCATCCTAGGAGAAGACTGGGCTCCAGGCATAGTTCATCAAAAAAAGAAAGAAAAAAGCGGGGAGATACCATCTCCTAGGGCTGAGGTGGGGGTAAAGGGGAACAGCCCACTCCAGCTGGCTTCTCCTTCCTGGGGTCCTTACCTTTCCAGTCAGCTGAACCTCAGCCCCGTCCCCCTGCAGCCTCCTCACCACCTGCAGGGAGGTGCCCTCCGGGAGCACAATGGTGGCAGGGATGCCCAGCTTCCGAGCGGCATAAGCAGCAGCAATCCCTGCATTGCCCCCTGTGGAAGCAATAGAAGGGGGTGCAGTGGGCAGTGTTGTCTTAGCCTGTTAACACACTTTCTTCCCTCCCCCTCCATTTCCCTTTGTGGGTCACTCCTTCCCGGCACTCATATGCCCCACCTTTGAGTCCTCTTTCTGGTCCCAGAGGTGGATATGTGATCTAGATTGACTCAATCAGAGAACTCAGAGAACTCAGAGAACCCCTAATCCATGATTGGTTCAGGGACGAGTACATGATCCAAGCTAGGTTCAATTCATGGATTGAACTGGTCCAGGACACGGGAGGGGAAGATGGAAAAGAGCCTCAGCTGGGCTCCTTAGCCTTAACTGGCTACCAAGCTGTGAGAACCATCAAGAAGGGGGTGCTTCCTTTTCACTAGGGCTGATAGGATGATAGGAGGCAAGCCTAGAACTCCTGATGGCCATCTTGCTGCTAGGAAGTCTGTGTGAAAATAAAGCTAGTACAGAGAAACGACAAGTCAAGGGAAGGGGAGATACAAAGGAGAGCTCCTGGATCCAGCTGTACCTGAAAGCCAATTATCCCAAGAATTTTCAGTTCTTGGGGCCTGTAGCTTAAACCTGTATGAGTTGGGTTTTTGTCACTTCTACCCCGAGTCCTGAATGACAGGATGAGGGCTGGGAGAGGACATGAAGTGGCCATCTGACCATGACCTTGAGGGGGCTGGACCTTTAAGAGGAGCCTGATCCCTGGACAGCTACTGCAGCTCCAGCGAGCTCTTCCTCCCCCCACACAGCCTGGAGGACCCAGCCCCGAGGGTCACCTGAGGAGCACACCAGGTGTCTGCATCCCTTCTTGGCCATCTGGGAAGAGAAGGAATGGGGTTAGGGACTGACCCAGGCAGATGTCAGAGAGCTGTTTGGGATGGAGTTAGTCCCTCCCCAGCCCACCCCGACACTCCTGCTCCTCATCCTGCCCCACCCATCTCTACAAGTCCACTTCTCCCCTCCTGCCCTCACCCCCAGCCAGCCGGCATCCATCCCCCTCCTCCTCCTTCTCGAACCATCTCACTTCTCACCTCCCGCCAACACCTCACCTCCTGGCAGAAATGCCCAATGCCCCGGATCTTGAAGGAACCGGCCGGCTGCACATTCTCACACTTGAGGAAGACAGTCGTGCCTGCCACCTGGGAAAGCGCCCAGCTCTCCAGCAGAGGAGTGACGGTGTGGAAGTGCTCGGCCTTAGCGCAGCCTGTCAGAGAGCTGTCCATTCCAGCAACCACCAGGAGGCCTGCAGGAGAGCATGAAGGCCATAGCCCAGGCAGCTCCAGCAAGAGCCCCCTTCCCCAGGACACGGGAGGGCAAGATGGAGAAGAGCCTCAGCTGGGCTCCTTAGCCTTAACTGGCTACCAAGCTGTGAGACTCCAGGCAAGGATCTGCTCCTCCCCGGGCCTCAGTTTCCCCATCTGGACAAAAAGGTTTGGACTAGGGACCCTTTCATTCTGTAACTGTGGCTGCCCACAGGGCTGGGGGTGTAGAATATGGCCAATACTTGGTGATGAATGAATGAGCGTGGAGAACTCATTCATTCATTCTTCATTCATGCATGCATGCATGCATGCATGCAAAAAAAAAAAATCTTGCAATGAGCACCTACTATGTGCCCGGCGGTTCCAGGGTTTGGGGTGCACAAGTCAGAGGCAGTCCCTGCTCTGCCGGAGCTCACATTCTAGTTGGCGAGACAGAATCACACAATTTCAAACAGGGGCGATGGGGGCGGGAGGCAGTGTTTCAGCAAGCACGGTCAGAAACAGTCTCTCAAGAGAGAAAAGCTTTTTAAAAACTTGTATTATGGAGAATTTAAACATAGCAAAATACTGAGAACTGGATAAGGAACCTCTGGTGTAGCCCATCACTCAGCTCACACAAGCGCTCCTGGCCTGCCTTGTTCCATCCATGCCTGCGCCCCCCCCTCCCCGGATGATGGTTTTTTTTCCCTCCTTTATTCTCTTATTATATTTTCTTCCTATACTACTTCATCTGTAAATACTTCGGCACGGATCTCTAAAAGCAAAGAACTTTTTTTAAACGATATAGCCACATGGTTTCACAACTGTATACATTTGTGCAAACTCACTGAATTCTTACTCAAAGTAGACTAATTTTTTTTTTGAGAGAGAGAGCGAGCGAGCTGGGGGAGGGGCTGAGGGAGAGGGAGAGAGAGAGAATCTTCAGCAGGTTCCATGCCCAGCATGGAGCCCAAAGGGGGCCTCAATCTCATCACCCTGAGATCATGACCTGAGCTGAAATCAAGAATGAGATGCTTTTAACGGACTGAGCCACCCAGGCACCCCGGGCTAATTTCATTTTATGGAAATCATATCTCAAAGATGCTAATTTTTTAAAAAACGTCATCACAATACCATTATCACATCTAAAAATATTAATGGTCATCTCTCAATATCATCAAATATCTGGTAATTGCTCACCTTTCCAATTGTCTCATTAAATGGGATAAACGGTTGGCTTTGCGGTCAGTGATTTGGGATCTCTAACACTTTGAATCAGATGCAAATCAGATCTGTGAGTATCACGTTGGCTGAGAGGGCTTTGAATTCTCTTTCCATCTGCAAGTTCCCCAAGGGGAATGTTCAAGATGAATGACAGCAGGGAGCCCAGGGAAAAGCATTCATGCAGAGGGGACAGCAGGCGGAAGCACCTTGAGGAAGAAACTAACTTGGGGTGTTGCTGGTGTGGGGAGAAGGGATTGGGCGCAGAAGGCGAGCAAGGAGAGGTGGGCAGGGACTTGGGGAACCTTCCAGCCCCTGGTCAGGAGCTGGGATGTTATTCTAATTCTACTTGCAGTGGGAAGCCGTCGGGAGGTTTTAAGCAAAGGCACAGTTAGTGAATGACCCTGTGGGAAAAGGCGAGAAACAGAAAGGGAGGAAATGAGAAGAGGGGGGAATAGAGGGGTTTTTTGTTTTTTGTTTTTAAAGGAGCAAATGCAACCCCTCTTTTTTCTCTGGGGCAGAAAACCATTGGGCCAAGCCCTGCAGTTCCACTGCTGGCCAGTAGGAGGAGTGCTGCAACCTCCCCCACCCTCCAGGGCCCAAGCTCCTTGCTCACACTTACTTAGGGCTCCACCCCCTGCCCCACCAGAGGGCTCCGGGTCTCCTGTCTCTGCATCCGGGGCCCTTGTTTAGATGGCCCTGGGATTCCCCAGGCAGGGCAGAGTCTGAGCCACCTCCACCCAGTTCCATCAGGGCACTGGGCATGGCATTGAGGGAGAGGGACCTGTGGGTCACCCAAAGTCAGCATACCTCAGCCTGCGCCTCACCTCGGCTCTGGGCTTAGGGGTCAGTCAGGGACCAAAGTTAGAAACCAGCTCTGTATTCCTAGCTGTGTGACCCCAACAAGTGCCTCAACTCCTCTGTGCCATGTTCCCTTCTGCCCTACTCTCAGACATCAGCCAGTCATCTAGAGGCATCATCTCTCTGGGGCCTTCTAACCGTGCGGGCATGCTTACCCTTTCTCTCGCATGTCTATAGGGCACCTGCGAGGTGTAGGCCCTGACCTAGGAACTGGGGATACCATGGTGAGCGAGACAGACATCTCCTCTTGGAGCTGATGGGGAGATCAGCATTCAACAAATAACTATAGACAAACAAAATAATCAAAAATGGTGAAAACTACTGAGGAAAGCATACATACAGGGAGTCTTAAAGAGAAAAACAGGGACACCTATTGTGGATAGAAAGATGAGGAAAGGCCTTTTGCAGGAAATGACCATTAAAACTGAGACCTGAAAAATGAGAATGAACTAACCACACAACAAACCGGGAGAAGAGCGTATGCATCACAGAATCACTGTGCGGATGCAGTGAGGCTATATGGTGAAGGCATCGACTCCATGCCTGACATATAATAATAGCTCATAGTTGTGTAGGACCTACTACCAGCCAAGCACGGTGCCAAGAACCTCAGAGACCATCTCGTATAATCATTACGACAACCTGGAGATAGGTTCGCTGATTAGTTCCATTTTCTAGATAATGAAGCCGAGGCCCAGAGAGGTTAAGGAACCTGTCCAAGGTCACACAGCTGGAAATGGCATGGCCAGGATTCAAACTCAGGCAGTGCACTTTGGCATCTTTGCTCTTAACACGATGCCATACTGTCTCTACTAGGTGGTAATGATGGTGGTGGTGGTGGTGGTTAAAGGTGTGAGCATTTCCTCCTTAATTGCCAGGTGTCCTTGGGAGCCCAATGCCCCTGGCTCAGCCCCCAGGCTCCCCCAGCCCTCTTGGTTATACTAACAGCCCACAGGAGAACAGCAGGCTTGTCAAATGAACAAGCCCCAAAACTTCCAACAGCCTTATCAAGCCCAGAAGCCTGTAAGGGCACAGGCCTCCCAGACTAAGGTCGAGGGCTAAGGTGGGACTGTGGCCTAGGGACACATGGCTCTGGAAGCATGTGGCCACCACTGGGGCTGAGCTGGGAGCCCTGGGCCCTCTCTGCTGTGGAGCAGAACAGTGGGAAGCCTGGAGCTTGGGTTCAGGTCCCAGCACACATGACCTTGGCCACGTCACCTTTCCTCCCACGGCCTCACCTGCTGCCCCTATGAATTGGGCCCAAGTAAGGACCATCTACTGTTTCTGCCTCCTTTGCCCCTCAGGCTTTTCCAGAGGCCACCTGGGTGACACTCCCAGCCAAACCCCTGATGCCAGGGCTGGGAAACCTTGGCTGGCAAAGTGCCCAGTCCTGCCCCTCTGGCAAGCAGCACCTGCTCCCCAGCCATCAAGAGTCCGTGGCACCCAGCCTCCTCCGAGGCAGGGTAGACCAACAGAGCACCCTGAGTTAAATCAGGGTTCCTGGGAGGGTTTTGCACCCATACCTTCTCACTTTCTGTCCACTCATCCTGGACCTTGCCCCGGAACCTTCCAGACGACCCTCCACTGCCATACACATGCACACAGAGCCCCAGAAGCACCCTTTGGGCCCCAGGCCCTCTTACCTGCCTGCCCAGCCGTCCCCAGACCCAGCTTGGCTCCAGCCTTCCACCACCAGCCAGCCTCGGCACCAGCTGTTCCCGGCTTCTCGTGACTTCTTGGCCCCGCCTCCCACGTTAAAGGGACAGCTCCCCGCGGGAGGAAGAAAGGGGACCAGATCAGCTTTCACGACCTCCCTGTGCGCTGTCCATGGTCCCATTTAACAGACGACGATGCAGGCTCAGAGAGGGAGACTCACTTGGCCAAGGCCACCCAGCCAGCGAGAGACACCCTGGACGACCTCTTCTGTGACACAGACATGTCCAAATCTTCTTTTTTTTTTTTTAAGATTTTATTTATTCATTCATGAGAGAGAGGGGCAGAGGGAGAAGCAGGCTCCCAAGGAGCAGGGAGCCCGATGCGGGACTCGATCCCAGGACCCTGAGATCATAACCTGAGCCAAAGGCAGACGCTTAACCATCTGAGCCACCCAGGCGCCCCATGTCCAAATCATCTTACTTCGAGTCCAGGGCTTGCCCTGAGTGCCAAGCCACGACCCCTGACCACTGTCGGGGTCAGCTTGGGTCAAAGGACAAAGATGAGAAGGCATCATTTTTTCTGAAGCACCTCCACACCTCTAATATTTTACACCCAACAAAGGAACCAAACAGTTATTTATTGTTCAAAGGAATGCCTCCGACCATTCATTCGTTCAACAAATATTTATTGAATACCTACTATGCGTCAAGCCCTGGGACTTTAGTCTCCAACAATACAGTATGTCCCCTGCTCTCATGAACTCCCAAGGGGCCACCAGAGAGCAGCTGCAATCAGTGTTCTCAGATGTGGTCAGGCAGAGGTGGGGCAGGGCTGTGGACAGCCAGAGCGGATACCTTACCTGCCCCCAGGAAGCTGGGAAAGCTTCTTGGAGGAAAGCAGGTTTGGTGCTGGAGATATAGGCAAGGACCAGAGTCCGCAGGGATGCTGTGCCATTCCAGAGTCTGGACGTTACCCAGGAAGGCTAGGGAGCCATAGAAGGCTGTAGGCAGAAGAATAACATGATCAGACTTACATCGTCACCATCTCAATGTGAGCTAGTCACATCCATCTCTGAGCCTCAGTTTCTCTATATACAAAATGGGAGGTGAGCTCCAGGAAGGACTTGGCAGCCGAGATATTCTTTGCCCTTCTAGGGCTGTGTGTGACCTCCCCCGGCTTGATGATTAATTCCTGACTGCTTGGCGTCGAGCTGCTTGGCCATGATCCTTGATGAGGACTCTGGCAGCTTCACAGCCATCCTCCTATTAAACCTGTACTCATCCTTGTCAGGTGTCCCGTCCTGGACTGGACCCTGGAGACAGACAGGTGGCAAAACTCAGTCCGTACCCTGAGGTGGCCCCTGGACTAGAGGGGAGAGGAAGCTATCCAATTCAGTGACAATTTTACCACCCCCAGGAAGACAGAGAACAGAAGGTCCTCGTAGAGCAGCTGGGTTGGGATGTAATGAGGGAGGGCTTCCTGGAGGAGTGGGGCCTTAGCACACAGCTCCGACTAGGACAGGAAACATGACGGCCCTTGAACAACATGGATTTGAACTGTGCAGGTCCATTTATACACGGACTTTTTCCAGCACAAGACTGTAAATGTATTTTCTCTTCCTTACGATTTTCTTAATAATATTTTCTTTTCTCTAGCTTACTTTATTGTAAAAATTCAGTATAAAATACATATAGCCCACAAAATGCATGTTAACCACCTTTCTGTTATTGGTAAGGTTTCTGGTCAACAATAGGCTTTTGGGAATTAGGTTTTGAGGGAGTGTCTGGTAGAGTTGATGTGAGGATCAAACAAGTTAATATATGTAAACTATTTAGAACAGTAGAAAGTGCTCTCTGTGTTCAATGCTATTATTGGTATTAGCATTATTATAAGAGGTGACACAGCAAATGGCAGAAATTACAAACGTGGCAATGAATGTTTGAAGTTTGGGAACATGACATTATCATATCACAGAATGCTTGCAACACCCTGGGGAGGTGTATGTCATAACGTAGCCTCTATCGTGGAATCAGACTGAGCTCAGAAAGGCCAAGTCACTTTCCCAAGGTCACACAGCAGTGGCAGAGCCAGCGCTCCGAAACAGAGGGGCCTGGCTTGGAAGAGCATGAGGTGGGGATGCCAGGATGGCTGCATCAGAGAGCAGATAAGACTGGAGAGGTGGACCAGGTCACTGACCCGTCCCGTCCCAGAGCCCAGAGCTATGTTCGTCAGTCAGCCCCTGTCCCTGACACCTAGGGCCGCCAAACACTCACCCTAGCCAGTCCCCTGGGTTATTCATTAAGCTTCATTTCACCATCCTCACCTCCAGCTGTCCCCAGGGTGAGGGGAACAGCGTGGGGAGGAGGGATGGAGCCTCAGACACAGGGGATGAGTCCTCCCGAATCACATTTAGACTCTGTGTCGTACACTTTCCAGGCCACGGAGGCCCAGTTGCACTAACCAGGTGAAAGAAGTGGACCTGGGACAGTGAAGCAAGCAGTCTCGCTGGTGAGCAAGCCAGCGGCCCCCTAACTTGAGACCCTCTCTGGGCTCGAATGACTTATCTTGACAAGGCTCAAAGGGTCTGAGACCTCAGTTAAGATACCATGTTGTGTTGGATGTCAGAAGACCCAGGTCCACATCCCAGCTGGCTTTCAGAATTAAGCCACTCATTTGTGCAATCAGCAAACATTACTCCAAACAACCAAAATCTAGACCCCTAGGAAAAAAGAGATGAAGACAAATAGATATCCGTGGCCCTCATGGCTTATAGTCAACATGTCAGTGAACAGCTACAATGAAGTGTTATAGACGCAGCAACAGGAAAATACAAATCAGAGCAACAATAAAATGCCCTTCAAAAAAAAAAAAACTATTGGGTCGGCAAAAAATTTTAAAAGGCATAAAAGAATAACAACCAGGGATGGTGAGTATGAGGGAAAATAGGCACCCTCACACATTGCTGGTGGGATCAGAAATCGCTACAGCCTTTTGGAAAATAGATCTGTCAATGTTGATTACAAGGGGATAAATACCCATTCCTTTGACCAAGAAATCTTAATTTAAGAGATTTTATTCTCTAAAATAAAAAGTGCCAGAGGGTAGGGATAAGAGTATGAGAATGTTTATTAGAATCCTATTTAGAATAATAAACAAACAAACAGAAAACTGAAAGCTTGGATGCCCTTGAACTGGGAAATGGTTGAATAAGCCATAATACACCCTCAGCATGCAATATTATGCAGCTATCACAAAGAATAAATTAGATCTAAACCTACTGACCCATAGAGATGGTCATGGTGCATTGTAAGTGAGAAAAGGAAAAAATATATATGTACAGTGGGTAAGGACTTTTTTTTTAACAAAGAACAGTGACCAAAAGTGCCTAAAATACCAGTCTATGTAAATACCTGTAGGTTTGTGGAGAATTATGCTGATCATATTGGTTGTCCCGGGCTGACTAGGGAAGTGGGGATGAGGAGGAGAGGGGTAAGGGGGGAGGGGGCCATAATGAAATTGTGGATGGAAATGTCCCATCATCTGCGCTGTCCAATATGCTAGCCATTCATCACCTGTGGCTATTGACCCCTTGAAATGTGTTTGTGCATTTGAAGAACTGAACTGTAAATTTTGCTTAATTTTTATTAAATTTAAATACCGCAAGCAGCCAGCGGTGACCAGATTGGACAGCACAGGTCTGAAGAATCTGTCTAGGAGATGGTATGGACCCAACATGAGACAGGTCATTGTCACCGGGGAAGCGGGGAGCATTAATAAATCCTTCAGCTTTGTGTAATGATGCCCCCATCCCAAGACAACAGATTTGAGTGACCTGCAGACAGAAAGACAATTACCAGGGGCGCCTGGGTGGCTCAATCGTTAAGCATCTGCCTTCGGCTCAGGTCATGATCCCAGGGTCCTGGGATCGAGTTCCACATCGGGCTCCCTGCTCGGCGGGAAGCCTGCTTCTCCCTCTCCCACTTCCCCTGCTTGTGTTCCCTCTCTCGCTGTGTCTCTCTGTCAAATAAATAAATAAAATCTTAAAAAAAAGACGCAGACCCCAAATAAACATACCTGGGTCCATGTGGCGTACAGATGGACGCAACTTTAAAAAATCCCACACCTGGAAAAAAAGAAGGAACTTTACATTGAAGACACCTAGTAAATGCTACTTCAACCAGGAGGTGAAGGTCAACATCAACAGTGATAAGTCATGTTGGTAGTTGATACAGACTTCGTGTGATGTGCTGAGAATAGCACTTTACCTCCATGGTCTTCCTCCCAGATCCTATAACCCATTCTACTCGCGAGGAAAAAAAAAATACAAAATTCACAACCAGGACTATTTGAAACTGTCAAGGTCATAGAAAACTAGGGAAGTCTGAGGAACGGTCACAGCCAAGAGGAGCCTAAGAAGAAATAATGATAAAATATAGTGTGCTATCCTAGATGGGACTCTGCAGCACAGAAAGAACATTAGGGAAAAACTAAGGGAGTCTGCATAGAGTATGGACTGTGAATAACGGTGTATCGATATTGGATCAATAACTGTGACAAATGTAATGTTGTTAATAACACGAGAAACTGGAAGCCGGGTATATGGGAAGTCCCTGTACAGTCTATGCAGTTTTAAATTTCCTTTTCTGTAAATTTAAAACTATTCTAAAATAAAAAGAGGGTTCTTTTAAGTCCCTACATCCAAACCTGCAAAAATAGTGGGAAATAACAATACCCCTTACAAGCGAATTCTTTGCAGAAAGCTTCTCCTCAGAGAGGACTCAAATAATGAAGCTGGTTTTATTCTCATTAAAATAGAGCTTGACAAAAATCCTGTGTTTTACTGCAGAGAGAGAAACAAGCCCAACCCTTGGACAGAGATGTTGAGAAGCTAGTGGAAGACAGAGAAAAAGCTGGAAAAGACATTTGTTGCAACTTTTAGATAAAGAAGGGGCAGTGAACGAAAGCTATCCCAGGATCATCGTCCTAATTTTTTCCCTTTTGCCAGTTATTTGTCTGCATGATCAGGAAAATGCATGCAATGAGGCATGTGTGAGGGAGGAATACTAATGTATCACTCCCTCCCCCTTACTTCCCTCTCCGGGGGAGGAGAGAGAGACAGAGAGAAAA